AGTGCTTAGTAATATTTAAGAGGAAACTGTATTTCAGTGAGCAGCTGAGTTTCATTTAATGGATTCACCATATTCTGGAGTATCCTAGATATAAAGTAATTCCATTTCCTTCATTAAACAGCAGTATCCCACATAGTCTCTATTCAATACCTCTAATAAGAGGCTGATGGCCATACAAGTGTTTTATCTAAAATTGAATTTTGCCTAATACACAGTGTTCTCTGTGAACAACAGGCACTTAATCAATGTTTGTTGAATGGACTTATTGAAACACTTCAAGAACTTTTACCATTTTGGTCATGCTTTTCTGAATGTCCTGTCATTTAAAAGTCCTCAAAAATATGCTTCTGAAGGACCGAGTACTAAAGATATCATCTGATTGGCTCTTAGGATAGTGAGAATATCATCTCCTTTATTCTGGTGGCACTCCAATAGAACATCCATTTCATTTGTGTGTGTATTCACTCTATGGTCACAGATACTAGTACCTCAACACCTCATCATGTGAATTTCTTGCTCATTTTCTCCTAGATATTTTGTAGGGTACCTATCTGATGGGCCAAAGGAGAGTTTCCTAGATGCTATTACTTTTACTCATTAACATTCTATCCAGTTATGTAACAACATTGTCTCATGTTGAATATGTGTGTGTGTGGATTAGCTTTGGTTGCTATATATTATATATTATATTATAGCCTCATATCTTGTCTTATAGCTTTATATAATACATATGATAAATTACTATATATCATATAAATTCATATATGCATTTATATGTAAGTGAATTTTGTATATGTACATACTATCCATATATGTATACATATATATGCATTCACATACACATACATATACATGTAAAGAGAGAAAGACATAAATATATGTATGTATATATATGTGTGTGTGTGTATATATACATATATATATATATATACATGCACATACACATACATATATACACACTACCTAGCGAGGTGACACAATGTATAGAGTGGTATGCCTGAAGTCAGGAAAATCAAAGTTCAGATCTGGCCTTAAATACTAGTTGTGTGACCCTGGACAAATCACTTCTTCTCCAACTGCCTCAGTTTCCTTAGCTTTACAAGGAGAACATAATAGTACCTACTTCAAGGAGTTGTTGTGAGGATTAAATGAGATTACATTTGTTAAATGCTTAGCATGGTGCCTGATGCTAGTAGGTACTATATAAATGCTATTATGATGATGTTGTTGATGTATAAATGTAGTCATATATGAACTGATAAGCAAGATTCCTCTGAAGACCAGGTATCTGTAGAACCAGGAAGAAGTAATCAGAACAAATGAAGTTCTCATGCGAAAAAGGATATTTTCTAGATAGCTGGCAAAGATCTAGTCTCAGGAATAAGTTCTATGTGATTTCTCAGTTCTACAGATAGTTCACATTTGCTCAATTTTGGTTGTGGTTTTCACTTTCAGTTTGGTGGTTTAACAAAATCATATGGTTTAATTTTCTCATTTGCTCCCATGCTTATTAAAAAAAAACATAAAAATACTGTACAATTGTTTAACAAAATGTTTTTTCAGTCAGAGATAAGGGATAGAAAGCTCCTTTTAAGGTACCATCAAATCAGTTTTTGAAGGATGCATGTTTTATCTGTTAACTAAAGTCAGCTGCCTAAGGCGTCAGATTCACCTGAAGTCTGGAGAGGATTGCTGAAACCTAGTTGACAACAATAAAGCAAAATTAACGTAGACTTGAGATTTAAAGGTAATGCAAACTGCTTGTGACAAGTTCATCCAGCAAATGGCAGCTGATGAAAGGAATTCTGGGGCAGAAAATTAAATAAAATATACTTTCAAATTGTATTTCCTCCTTAGGCTACTGTGTTAACAGGATAGAGATGGGAATCAGAACTATGATTTCACTGGTAAAACAAACAAACAAACAAACAAACAAAAAACGAAAAACTCTGAAGTGGGGAAATCTCATCTACATTCTCTTTAACTTAAAGGTTTTAGAGCAATGGTAGGTGAACAGGGTGACACAGCCATTATAAAGCAAGTGAAAATCAACAGGTCACATCCAGAGTTCTTATACTATTATATTGGTTTAAAACCTCAAGAAGAGAGGATAGCTATGACAACTATCTTTAGTTCTTGAGAATTATGGCTTTATGGTGAATTGGGAAAAGTTCAATTCATAAAGTATCTGAAAATAATAATTGAGAGTTCACATCCTCTTTTTAAAGAAAAACAGTGTTTAACATGAGAATTTAATAATAAAAACAACATAAAACAATAGATTTATAGTTGTAAGCACCCTTATAAGCCAGAAATTTCAGTTCCATGACTTTCCTAGAATTGCATAACTAGTTATCAAGTGTCAAAGATGGGATTTGTGAGATGCTTTCTCTTACTCCAAGGCTAGCACTCTATCCTGTGTTCCACAGTGCTCATGAAATGGGCAATAGGAGTGTTGAATCAAATGCTAATCACTTGCTTCTTCTTTCTACTTGGTGATGTTTTTGTTTTTGTTATTATTGTTCATTTCATTTGTTTTTAAATTCTTGCTGAGTTAATCAGAACTAAACAATTTGGGTAATTTTGTCCCTAGCCTAAGGAACTGAGTAAGCTGTAACCATGGTCCCATAGGGCTAATCTAAACTTTTCCATATCAGGGAAAAAGTTTCATCTAAGACCTTCAGTGTAGTCAAGGATGCGGGCAGAAAGATTACAAATAAACAGAGCTCAGTTAAGGGAATACAAGTTTTTCAAGCAGATACAACCAAGAGATGGGACATTGAGGAACTTCCTCCTGATATTTGAATGTGAGTGGAATTATAGATTACGAATTTAGGATATCAACTTCCATATCATTGGTTAGATGTTGAAGATAACTGGGCCAAAGGCATAGCCCTGTAGCAAAAAATTAACTATGTATATACAACCAACCACTCTGTCATCTAGTCTTTATTAATTCCCTTTTCAAGAGTTATACTGAACAAAAAGCATTTATTAATCACCTACTATATATTCCATGGAACTGTACTAGGTTCTTGGGATAAAAGACAAATGCAAATCCTTGGCCTCAAAGAGTTTACCTTCCATTGGGAAAGACATATAAAAGAAATATATAAAATATTTTTAATTTTTAGTAAAATAGAACTTTATTATTAACATATGAACATTTACATATACAAAAAGGTCAGAAAATAAGATTGTACATGACAATTAAATGTTATAGCTTATTTTAAATATATGTGTATATACATATTGAATTTAATTTGATAATACAATCATTTGTTTCCCCTTCTAAACTTTCTTCTATTTTTACATTTTATTTTTAAATATTTCGTATGCTTGTTTCTCTTTCTCCTCCTCCTCTTTTCCTTCCCCTCCTCATCCTCCCCCATTTCTCCTTGTCCTCCACCCTCCTCCTCCTCCACCCTTCTCCTCCTCCACCCCCCTCCTCCTCACCCTCCTCCTCCTCCTCCTCCTCCTCCTCTTCCTCCTC